ATGAATATTGCAATGTACATGTATATAAGATATATCAGATACAATTATACAAGATACAATTCACAATAAATATCAAAAATCCTTACATGTAGTGACTCTTCTGTATCACCCTCATCTGAAGATCCTTTTATAGAGCTATGGAATTAAATGTTGTATAATGATTTAGTTTTAACTATCAAATATTGAAAATAATATCGATTAACTTCATTCATTTGCATATCATCCAATTTTTAAAATAAAAGTACAATCATACAGTGTCTAGTATTATCTCAGAAACCAGCTGAAAACACAAATTTTTAGATGTTCTTATTTTAAATTTGTCATAGTTTGATAAGTTAACTAAAACAATCAGAGCACCCGATCTCCTGGACTATAAAGTACAGCATCACAGACTATCAACTTGAAACGACTTTACCTTGTGGTCTAATAATKTTTAAATTTATGATCCATTCAGTCATTCAAAAATTAAATCTAATAAATATTATTAGTTCATTCATTCAATTCTGAACTACAACACAGAATCAAGAAACAACTTCATTACTATGTATTATTCATTTGTTCATCTGTACCAAYGATATAAAGACTAACACAACTACATCAAGAAAAAAAACACTTTCTCTTACCCTGAATATTCTTCTCTGATAATCTTTAGTACTACCGACAGACAATAAAAACATTATCATAATAATGATAATTTTTATTATTTGATTTGAGAGGATGTTCTTACCTCTTCTTACCATATTTCCTACGGCTGATTCTGAAAAATATAATGCACAAATAGATGACACAATATTTGAGCTAAATAAAACTTAAATAAATCAAGTAAAGGCATGGCTAAACTATGATACACAGTACATGTAGCCTGTTTCATTGCTGCATATCATCAAAGTTTTTCAGTTTATATTGCTCAGAAACATTTGCAGTTCATGGGACTGACATGATTGTAATGTCCAACAAATTTTGTAGCTGTGCCAACGTTTATGTATACATTACTCTTAACTTCAAGTTTAAATGATGACTGTATGACTGATATGAAAACAAATTTATGAGTGTTTTAAGTGTCTCTACCTTGTGGTGCATTTGTATTCCAAACCAGTCACATAGCCAACTATTTTTAATTGTATAAAACCATGACAAGTACCTGTGGGTTGTGCATTTGATAGTCTTTTGCCTTCTCTTTTTACTATTTCCATTAAATCACTACAGAAGACAATAAGCAYTTAATCAATTATTCCTAAAATATGACCATTGATGTGTGTCTTACTTCTGCACAAGAATGGCACATTAGACTGATTCCATTTAAGTTGGTCCCATTTTGCTCTGTAGTAAACTCCATCACCAACAGTAAATCCATTATTCCATCATTGATTTGTTTCAAATTGTTTCAAATATGATTAATAAATTTAACATCTYAAAAAATGTGCAGTTATCACTTATTTATTGCATATTATCTTTTATTGATTCTATTTGTTTACTCATGTTTGAATRTTTTTGATWAAAACTTCATTTGAATAATGAATATTTGAATCAAAGACTTCAATCAATAATGGAATCATGGATTCATTAATGATTACTACATCACGCTGAATATAGTTTGACTGGAAAATGGTGTTTGATTTTCCAAACAGCTGACCGACCATCCAAACAAGAAGACAATTYATTAATCAAWGTCAACCAATCAGTCTTGCCTTTGCAGGAGAGACTGGCAGTTAAGGGAATCATGCAATCAACTAATCAATCAATCAAGTGATTCCACCAATCAATCAATGCAATTAACTAGCCACGTGATTCAATGAATAGATAAAACATACCCRGCTGTCTTCCAATACGAGAAGGATACAACTTTGCGCAATAGTTGGACAGTTTGCATAGCTGTATCGTACGAACCGTGAAGAATACTACAAGAAAATAACACAGATGAACCATACCGGTCTGAATAATTCTGTTGAAAACATTCCCTACCCTTGTTTTAAATCAGATATACAGTTCTCTATTTCATCGTGCAGTTCCTCTTCTCTTACATCAGGCATTCTTATTAATCAATCTAGTTAATAATGGCACAATTTTGTAATTTTTAGAGAATTTCTTCGCTTATCGATCCGAAATTTACTCTCGTACGCATGCTCTTCTTATTTGAAAAACAGCTGTGGCTAAATCACGCGGGCGCAATAATGGCGGCAAAAATTGAAAATCAAGTGAAAAAACTTGCTCTTTATCAGGTGAAGCTTTCTATTGTGGAGCATCAAAACTTCAGCTTTTTGTACATTRATCTAATTTATGGTAMAAAAWTTTTGKTTTGGCCCAGTTTTATGTTTTTTGACCCTGTTATTTGTCTGTTTTATAGATGMGRGGCTGTTTGCAGCCATCGTTGCGTTCAACTTCTGTAAAGTTTTTCAACACATATTCACGAAGTCGCTGTTTCAAACTAAATGACTTGCTAGACAGCAAGGGAGAGATTAAAAATGGGTAACAGTGAGTGTACTTTTTTCAATGCTTTTCAATARAATTRATATTAATTTTGATTTGTTCTCAGGCACGTCATATTAGGTTTTACCAAAGATGGCTGTCATCTTATCTCATACAGTCTTGAAATTGATACTCGACTAGACCTGCCACAACCTCTTTACTCCTACACACTGCACTGGTGGTGGTTTAGATACTGTAAACCTCTTGTCAAGGTAATACTATGTGTTTAAGTCAGATATACAATATATTAGGTTTTTATAACATGAGGAAAGTTAATACTTAACTAATGAAATAATTGAAAATGAAATATCCAGTTTAGCTTATATTTCTTGTCATCAGCATCATTTTTCAATACCTGACTTTCGAATTTTGCCTCAGTAGGACCACACAAAGGAATCAAGATGAGGCTCAATACATAAAGCTCATTCATTCCTAAAAAGACAATTATTTTTTGGCAMCTCTTCTTGATTCAATTGTGTTTGACTACTGAGGCAAAATTCGCAAATTTGCTATTGTCAACAAGCCATGTGTTATTTATGCATTTCTAGGTTCACAGTGTTCCGTTGTTCAGCAATCATGATGTTTATRATGCCTTGCATCTTATTATATCGCAAAGTCTTGATGAAAAACAGCTCATTATCTGGGGACGAAGGTATATATCAATGACTGTTGAACCTCTGACAGACAGAAATCTCTACGTGACAGACACCTCTGCCTGACAGACAACTCTAAATGTCAGTCACATCTKAGACATCTCTGTATGACCAACGCCTGTATGTGACAGATACTACTGCAAGACAGACACATCTACTAGACAGACACCTCTTGCAGGCACCTGTACATGATGGACACCTGTACATGATAGACACCTCTATGCAACAGACACCTCTATGTGACAGGCACTTCTATGTGACAGACACCTCCACATGACACACTCCACTAACAGACAGAKTACCAATGTTGTGTTTTTTGAAGCATTTTACATTTGAACTTTAGGGGGGTACCTAACTTCAGGCTCTTAAACTTTTTTTGTTTATTATATCATGCAGTAGTCTTCTTAGCCTCTTCTCAGCATCTTTGCCGTACTTTTGCATGGAAGCAAGACAACCAGTGAGCAGGCAATGATACAAACCTTCCTTCATGCATACAAATAATTATTGACAGGTATCTATCATTGCTTGCTCAACGGTTTTCTTTCTTCGATGTAAAGGTACGGCTACCTTTCAAGATGGCGCAGGGAGCCATGAAGGAGAGAATTGTTTTTTTTTTCGTATGTATTATGTCTTCAAAAGTTTGCTTGATGTATAGTTTTTATTTCTAACTTTCAAAATCTGGTTGCTTGTTATTTGTCTTTTCATTATACTATGTGTTGCAATGACTATTATAATCATGGTAACATCATTATAACCAATGTTTTCCTTAGTTCACCCTCACAAGAACAAAGCTGTCGATGTTATGTGACTATATGTGCTGCGGTGTCATCTAAGACATGTAATGCATGCCAACTCTCCACAAATGAAAAATGCCTTGAGCATTCCTTTTCTGTTCATTTTACCTACGAGACSTTGCCTCCATATCCTGTTTTCTTGCCATCTGTCTCATTGTCCATCCCTGGAATTGTTTTATTCAACTGTGGAGATTCTCTTGTTGCTATGAAGTGTTCGCCATGTTTACAGTCCAGCCATATTGAWGCTGCTATGCAAGACTTTGCACCAAATATATCAAACARSAATGCYTCTAGTGAACAAYGTAGTATGTGGCATGAAGCAGTGMATGTTGAAAATACTGACAACAGTGATGATGATCAGTTGACTRCAAAACAATATAGGRATCTTGACGATAATGGATTTGGTTTTGAGAACAGACAAAGATGTAATGATTCAYTTGATAATCATATTGATTTRTTGAACAAGCAACAKTGCAAATTAGATAGTGCTTCTAGTCCTTTGAATTCTCCACAGTCTGTAGCAGACAATACAGCCAGTAGGATACCAATGTATAGTCCATGGAATCCAGTCAAGGACATCAATTCCAACACTAGCWGTAGTCAYACCAACTATTCATACAAAGTCTACTACAAGACAGACTCAGAGGATGTATTTGATGATTGCGATGACATCATTAATCATGAAATACCAGTCAACTTATTATCAAAYAATCAACCWCTCTCTTCCTGTGATACCATATATGGTGTGACAGAACCGTCTGTGCTGGTCTGCCAGGCCTTTCTGGATATGGAGGAATGTATTAACGATTTGATTCAGTCACATGAGGAGTTGCGTGACAGGTATAAGTCATTGCGTGACTATGATTGYCAATTGCTAAGTGTTTGTCCAGAAGGTGAAGTCATTGTTATGGTCAATGTTCTTGTTAATGCTAAGAGAAAACTGAGTTGTCATTCTTATGGCCTTCAGGTCAGTCCAAGGTGAGTAAATCTTGTAATGACGTGTATCAGGGGATGTATAGCTATTATAATTAGGAGTTTCAATGGAGGGGAGGCGCAACTCCCTGCCTGCCCTGCATAAATCAGCTGCTCTAACCCATGGTACAACGTTTAAGGCCAGTTTACATTTGCGCTTTTTGCAGTGCGATAATCGCCACTTTACTATCGCGCAACTCAAATCGTACGTGTAAACAGCCCTGCGTTTGTTGCGACGATAGAAAATCTCCGCGAAGTTGCAGCCAATTTTGCAACCATGGTCTAGACTAAGGCGATGGTCGCACGACGATCATGTAAACTGGCCTTAAKATGGATGACAACTGATTAACGCTCACGCCTATAATAAACTAGGGATCGATGCAGCAATTGGCTTACGTCCTGTCAAAAATACTAACCCTCAAATGGAATAACTTTATTTATCATATAATTATCTATGAAATAAGAAGTAAGAAAAAAAGTTATTTTACGGCAAATGTTGCTTTCATATTTAATTATATAATAAACAGAATATTACATGGTCGCTTGAAGATACGAATTTTGTCTTYTCGCGTTGAAAATTTCTTTCCAACAATCGAAGATAAAATCCGTATCTCCGCGCGCCCATGTAATATCCTCTATTTATCATTTTTTTAGCCCTGGGCTTCATCAAACAGGATTCGTATTTTCTTGGAATATCTGGAATGGACAATATCGGACTCTACATTACATGGATGTAGAGGATCATCCTAGTCAYGGYTTTACCAAGTCAGAGTCAAGTATGGAAAAGGCCAGATGTTTGAGAAARGATACAGCAATYCCAGTGGGGTTTAGATCACAAGTTCGCGTRTTTTCCAATCATACTGTTTTCTCTGATAAATCCTTGAAATATCTTTTACATCCTTTTCTCCCTATTGTCCTTGTGTTGTAATACAATATCATTGCTTACAGAGCAGGARATCTTTTCGATTTTTAGGAGAATGTAGGATTTTGGGCTTCCGGCTTTGACTGAATTTGTCCATATTATGAATGTGCGAACATAGTTAACTATGTTATATTAACTATGGTGCGAATTAAAAAAAAAAGACAAAAAACAATATTAATGGCATGGAGAAATTTTTTGCAAAGAATCCTAGAAACCGACACCCCCAACAAAACAAGACAAAACCAACACTTGAAATTATGACTGTTTTGCAGGCCTTTGTTAAAATAATAAAAAAATGTGGTGCTCTAGGTTTTTGCTATGGGGAAAATATGAAAATGATGGGAACTAGTGGTAAATTAGTGTGAGCTGCGTCGGTGTTTCTAAAGAAACAGTTGTGTAAAAGGATAAATTTAACACTGTAAAAAAGGATTAACGACGGGAAAAAAAAAGGATTAACGACGAAAAAAAAGGATTAACGACGAAGGATTAACGTCCGAAACGTCAGTAAGTTATTCCACCTACTTTTTTTACGGTGTTAAATTTATCGTTTTACACAACTGAAAATATGAAAAGTCAAGAGTTCCGATTGTGTTTAAAGATACCTGGGTGCTATAATTCTAGCGGAATTTTTGCTTTAAAGGATATTTTCTTTGCTTTCATTCTTTGTTAGAAACACGCCGAAATGAGTGGACATCAATAAGCGAGACTTTTTTTCATTCATCAAAGTTTTTATATGATCTTGAATTAATGAAAACGAAAGGAAAAGAAAATTTAAACACAGCTAAGAAACAAAAGTGCTTTTGAATTTGTGTCCTTGAAKTACTGAAAATCAAAGGAAAAGAATGTTAAAACRCAGTTAAGTACAAAAGAACTTTTGAATTTGTTCACWTACTTTTTGATTTTATTTTCACAAAACACCCCCTTGCACGCGGGAAGAAGGGMTGTGTTGAAGGGACAGTTGTCCACGTTCCCAATAATCATCCTCTGTCGGTGTTCTAGGAACTGTTCTAGGCATATACAATAATGAAAAGAACTCATTTTGATTTTAAAATAGTTTCCAAAAAGGTTTAAAACTCACCCGCAACAGGACTGTTGCATGTAGACCGACGCACACATTGGTCACAAAACCGATGCCCGAATAGAGTCGTAATCATCGCCTTTGCTGAAGAATAGAAAAACCTGGTCTGAAACACTGTCGAGTATCTTAGTGTTTGTGCGTTGTGGCAATCCGCTTTCGGCGCTGAAGAATAAAAAAGAAGACTGAAACAATGACAAGTATGTATATATCCCCCCAAAATAGGAGATATGATGTGAAAGGTTTACATTGAGTAAAAAACTGGGTGATTTGAGAAAATGCGAAGATTGATTTTTAAAGCCATTTTTATATTTCCCCCCCTCGTAAATAAAAATAGACAAGGGAGGTAAGTCAGCGATCGACATTTGCCAACCGGCTCTAAACTCTCAATCTCTAAGACACCTTTAACTTCATCCAATCGACATCAAACTCCGTACAGCTTTCGATCAATACCTATTCTCACTTGGCACCAATGTTCAGTCTCCAGTGAGGGGGGGAAATATAAAAATGGCTTTAAAAATCAGTCTTTATTCATAAAACTGTTTATACTTATTAAAGAAAAAACAAAAGAAAGAGAAAGTCTTGAAAAGTCTCAAGAAATGAAGTAGAAAAAATTTACGTCTTCATGAGGGCTCGAACCGCGAACCACGCAAGCTTTGACATCGCCGTGAAAGCAACACAACTGTTGAGCCTGGGCGCCCTGTGCCGTTTATCATGAATTCCGAGCGAAAAACTTCTCTTTAGCCAACTGCGCGTAGCCTTTCTCTTTAGGCGATGTTGCAACGTCATCTAACATTTATTCAATTGTCGTGTGCATTTTAGATGTGGATATTCATTTTTTTTAATAATTTGTCTACGCTTTTACGCAAAACTTTAAAACCGGCTTTTTTTTCTGAATAAGATTCAATCTTTCAACACCTCAGCCACTCTTGTCTTTTGCATACCTTTTATGATAGCCTGCGTAGCGGCCCTTTTCCTCCCCACTCCCCGCTCGGCCGGCCCTCCCCAATCCCCTTAGGGCCGCTACGCAGGCTACTTTTATGAATAATAAAATATGATAAAATTTCTCTTCGTGATTTCACGATTTCACGGCCTGATTCAGCGCGCTGTTTCGGTTTTATGTTTTGCGTTCGCGATCGTTCTAAGTCGAATCGTTAGCCCAAAATGTTTGCATCAGGCCTTTCATACTGGAAAAACGTCATCACGGCAACTTACCTAGATAAACTTAGAATTGATGAACGCCAGCCTTTGTCTTGAACCAATGGCAACCTCGGAATTTTCGTCCATTTCAAAACGCTTTTTATTTGTTAGCGTGGGTTTACTSCGGTTACTCGTGATAGAAGCCGGTAACGTATCTTTGGTCTTTATTGGGACTATTTCTCCAATGGGCTTTACATGTAGTTTACAGTAACTGATAACGACAACTACTGACTTATAGTATACATAATGTGAATCTACTTTTATAGTGTACGCAATAGGATGACAGCAAATTGTCGTTCAATATTAGAATATGATTGGGTAGAATATGACTTTGATGTGCTAATGTTTGATTTACTAATTAGATGTTCAGATGAGGCTGAGGACTCGGAAAATGCTATGCCACCGAGAGGTTAATTTCACAGACGAAATTACATGTAAAACGAAAGATAGCTCTGATAAAGAACTAGCTTTCTATCAAGTTATATTGAAAGGATATTTAAATAAACGAAGCTACAAGGCTTTTAACAAAAGAAGGGCGTTTTAGGGTGTGTATTGAGGTGTCGGTTATCGAGGAGGAGTTTAGATGGATTTGGTGCAATATTACAACGATGTAAGCTAACAGCTAGTTTGATGTCTGTTTCCAACCCCGTTTGTTTGTGCTAGAAAAAATCTTTATTTTGAAGATGAGATTGTGCTTCATATGTAGCCTGAACGTGGGTCTGTGGTGTTTGCTTACGATCAACAGGCGCACATTTTTGTTGTTGTTGAGCAGCGATATGCAGATTGACTGTTCTTCTACAACTTTGTAATCAGGTTGTAATTAGGAGTAATTCATTATTATATTTGGATAGCTTTTTCATAGTAATTTATTAATCAGTTCGCGTTGAACTTTT